CAGTTTGTTTTTTAAGAGCGAGAAAGTGTGCTGAAGCAGAGAAACAAGAGCAGGCTGGCTAGAGGCAGGGCTCAGAGAAGTGTCAGGGTGGTGACCACGGAAGGAGCCTATGCACAGAGCCCCACGGACAGTGCCGCCTGAGGCTCCCAGCCTGCGTGCCAGAGTCAGGTGCTCTACGAGTTCCAGGGAAGAGTGACGTGATCAAATGCAAGCATGCAGGTGGCTCCAACGGGTGTGGCTAAAAAGAAGTGAGCATGGAGGAAAAGGCCACGGCAGTTTGTCCAGAATCCAGATCTGGCTGTGGAGATCACCCCTCCTGATACTGGTACCCTCTCTTATTACCAAATAGAACGCCCTACCTCCTGCCCACTCCATACATGTGTCCCGGACACATTCCCCATGTGGCTGTGGTCGTGTGTGCAGTGCGCGTGTACATATGGGGATGAGCACGCCCAGAGGAACAGAAGGAGGCCACAGATGAGTAACAGCACACACTGCTGCCTCTCAAGAGTATTTTTAAATGCTAAAAATACTGGCTAAAAATAGCCAGCAAGCTCCAAACAAGATACTTTCTCTAGGCAGATTCTGTTTGGCTCCCTGATAGGTGAGCTGGGTGCAGCATCAGAACTAAAACTCAAGACCTCGGACCTTCAAAAGCATGGCCGCGCTTAGGTCCGAGTGGTGTTCACCCCACACACACCAGCTGAGCACTCTCCCCACCATGGTGTCACTTTCTCCCCACCTCCCAAAAACAAAACAAATTTTGAGATGCTCTGGGACATGGAGTTGGGCAATTGGATAGAAGCATTCTGAAAAGTTCCTTCCCTGGGGCCACAGGGGACAGTGGCCTAGGGTACTTTATGGGATATTAGAGTTGCCTCTCCTTATAATGGGCCAAACCAGGACTGGAGGGAAGAAGGGAGTGCAGTTCCGAAGGGGGTAAATCTTCTTCCTAACGCGTACCCATCGACCCTCTAACTGTGTGGATTGTCTCGCTCCAAGAAGGCCTGAGTTCGCCTGGATGCTGTACAAAGTTTACGCCTAGGGGCACCATTCCAGGAAGAGAGGACGGGGCTTGCAGAGCTTTCACTGGTTCTCAAAATGATGTGCCGCCCCCAAAAAGTTAGGAAATGTATGCTGCCCCGGGCGATGCTCACCCACCGCACTCGGTGTGGGGACGCGTCCTTTGCGGGCCTCAAAGATAACTTCTCCTGAGTCCCAGCCCCGAGGCCGGTGCGGGCTCCGCGCGCCCGTCCCGTCCTCCCCCGGGGGCTGCAGGTATCCCCGGCGGGCGGGCCGCTGCCCGGGTGGGCAAGCGGGTATCGGACCCGCGGGGGTGGCGGGGCGGCGGTCTCGCGGAGGTCCGCGTGCAGGGGCGCGGGGGCGGGGCCGGCGGTGGCCCCGCCCCCTGCGCTGACGTCGCGGAGCCGGAGGCGCCGGCAGGGCCGCCAGTCCTCCGGAGCTCGAGACCCGGGTGCCGTGCGGTTGGCGGCGCGCGCCGGGGAGGTGGCGGCGGAGGAGCGCGGGCCGGCTCGCCGCAGCGGTTCCTGCCGGGCGCCGCGGACCGTGTCCGGCGGCGGCCTCGCCGGCGTCGGCGTCCGGGCTGCGGGCCTGGCGCGGGACTCGCCCGCGTCCCCTCTGCGAACGTTAAGCGCGGGGCCGAGCCCGCCGCCCGCCCCCCAGCATGCGCACCTCGTACACGGTGACCCTGCCCGAGGAGCCCCCCGCCGCCCCCTTTCCCGCCCTCGCCAAGGAGCTGCGACCGCGCTCCCCTCTCTCCCCTTCCCTGCTGCTCTCCACCTTCGTGGGGCTCCTGCTCAACAAAGCCAAGGTACGCGGGGCCCTTTTCCGGAACCCCCGCGCCGAGGGCCTGCGGTTCCGCCGCCTCCCCGGGGCGCCGCGCGCCCTCGGCCGGGGACGGGTTCTCGCCGGCCCCCAGCCCTCTTTTCCCAGGGCCTCCGGCAAGGAATGCCCCCTCCCCAGGTGATCCTTCGCTTACTCGCGCCCCCGCCCCATGTTGAGGTCCCAGCCCCCGACTCCCTCTCCGGGACCAGGACAGGCGCTGGAAAGCGTCACCTTGACTATAGGTCCCCTGGTGTGGGGGAACCGGCAGCACGCTGGATGGCGGGTGTGACTCCTCCAACGCCAAGCCAAACGCAGCAAGAAAGGCTGGTCAGAAAGGGGTCGCCTCCCCCTCGCTGATCTCAAAGACTTGGTAACAGGGGTCCTTTGACCCTGTGAAGGGCAGAGGACTTACAGACAGGTGAAAGAAGGCAACTTCCCATTACTTTCCAGCCCTTCCCAGTTCTGCTAAGTGGACACTGGATCCCTCAAATGAAGTAGCCACCCCAGAGTAATGCTAGGGCTGAAGGCTGGGCACTGCCCTTTCGGAGAAGGGAGAGGGGCCAGAGCTGGACACATCTTATGTAACAGGCACCAGCTTCCATGTTGGCAGTGTGGGCACTGCCCCATGCCAGGGCCACACCAGGCTCCTTGGCTGCAGCCAAGACTCATGGCTGACCCTCATGGCCCAGGTGAAGTAACCAGGAAAGCCCTTTCCTGGGGTCTTGAGTGTGGAGACACAAACCTCAGTCAGCAGTTATTGTATGGCCCACGTGCCCAGATGTTTCCTCCGCATCAACCCAGGGCAGGCCCTTCCGGAGTCCCCTGCTCCTTCCCCAGAATGCGAATGCTGTCTGTTTACTGACGCCGGAGGTGACATCTACTTTCAAGAAGAGTGGTTGCTACTAAGCCAAAATTAGGTTTGCTGCTGGCTAATTTTAAGGAAGGTCTTGATCCAAACTTTCTCCACTCTGCACAAGGGCTCCCGCATCCCAGCTGGAGTCGTTTCCTCCTCTCCTGGTGAGAGGCTGGCTGGGCAGGGTCTCTGCAGCTTCTCCAGTTCAGCCTCTCCCTGTCAGTCCTGAGGTAGGATTGTTTTCCCCATAAGAAAGGTCACTCCTGGGACATTTTGTTCCTCTTTGGAATGGAAAGTGCTGACTTTCCCTGGAGCTCCTGATTTCCTATTCATGGCAGAAGAACATCTAGCTGGGCGTAGAACAGCCCTGCTCTCCCCTCCACTCCCACCCCCTGGCTCCTGTTATCCAACCGCCTTCTACACAGAGCACTTAGAAATTGGCGAGTAGTTTTGCACTCAGGAAATTTTAGATAAAGGCACAGTCCCCCTCCCCCCCAAAAAATAAAAACTAGAGAATTTTAGCAATGCCTTAAAGGAGGCTCTCCTCTGCCAAGCCAGGAGTAGGGCTAGATCCTTGAGAACAGTAACCGTAGGCGGTGACGTGTTCTCATTGACCCTCCCTCTGCTGGGTCAGAACTAAGTGTGGAAAGGAGCACCTCAGCAGGCAGATGCCTCCGGGTCCCCTTTGCCCCACCCCCACTAGGGCCGAGTGACCGCCATCTCAGCCGAGGGCCCACTTTGCTGGACCAGTGATCACCTGTGGTAGAATGCTTCACTTCTACAGCCTCTTTAGACAGATGTTGTCTGAGACGCAGGGGTAAGAGTAAGAGCAGATGTTCTGTTGTGGGCAGGCTGACCGTTTAGTTCTGTGTGGGCAACACAGAGACTTCGGCTGGCCTCCAGGTCTGCCTGAAAAAGCTGATGAGGTCTTTGGGCAGGGACTTACCTCTGTTGTGGCCCTCTTACTGGAACCCCAGGGTTTAGACTGTCAGGTAAGATTTACAATTTGTGTTTGGAGCCATATGCTGCTGGCCTTGGCCACATTCTTCGAGGATGCTTTTACCCCACCTGCTGCCAGTAGGCTTTTCTCTCTCGCTGCAGGTGGAACCCAGGTGTCTCCTCCCTTCCTGTTAGTGTTAGAGCTGGTGGCTGGCAAGGAGGGATCCTCCTCCTCGTGGGATCAGCTGGGCAATGCTTGAGAAAAGCCCTCCTTCAGCCTGCCTCTCCCCACCCCACCCCCCTGAGCTGACAACCTCATGGGCTTTGAGCTGCTGACAGCCTCAGAGGCTGTCAGCACACGGCATGAGTAATTTTAGCTGAGTTATTTCAGGCTCCTGTTCTGATGAGGCTTGAGCTGGCCCCACGCATGCCCCAGCCAGGGCTGCATCAGAGTTTCTTGCTCCCAGGCCCCCTCCCTGGGGACGCTGGGGTGAGGGGGGCGGCGTAGGCAGACCCATCTGCACACTGCCTCTTTAACCCTTTGAACCCAAAGGCTGTCTGTCTCCTTGACCATTGGGCCAGCATTAGCCAAGAGACCTGGACAAATGATGCTTAGCGTCCTTGACCAGCCTCCTCTTCTCTCCCCACCCCCGCACCGTCCTCCATAATAGAAACAAGAACAAGAGTGGTACCTTTTGCAGGTGCTGACCTCTGCTTGGCTGTAGGCTGCCATCAGAAGGACGCCTAGCCGGCGGCCGGTCGGGATACTGAAACCTAAGCCAGGCAGGGAGACTCTCCCAGGCTTTAATGAGCCCGTAGGAGCTGAGCTCAGCTGGAAGGAATTCCACCTGTCTCTGGCAAGTCAGAATGGCATGCTAATTTGAGGTTCTCCCTGCTGAAGACTTAAACTCTATTAAGATGTCTGCCATTGAACTTTTGAAGACCCCCCTTGAGGTGCCCATTAAGACAGCTGCCTTGTATATTGGACATCTAGGGGTAGAAATGTAGGTCATTTGAGACAGTGCCGAGATTTGGGGCCTGAAGTAATCAAATATATTCATTTGTAGTCTCTAGTTCTAATCTCCAGTCTCCAATATGGCAGAAAAATGAAGCATAAGATAAAGATGGGGGAAAATACATGCTCAATAAAAGAAAGCAAAGCTCTGAAGAATATTTTTGTTGTGTGTTGAAAATGACAGGCATTCCTCAATTCCTCTTTCCTACAATGTACATAGACTAAAATTGAAGAGAGAGTCTGTGTGGCCTGATGCCCATAGCTCCCGCTTTAGAAAGTTCCATGAAAGAGGCTTGCACAGGCCAGCCTCTCTGCCTTCCTCACACGCCATGTTTTCTCTGCTTACAGAATTCTAAGAGCGCCCAGGGCCTGGCTGGTCTCCGCAACCTTGGGAACACAGTGAGTTCTTCCCAGCCCACTTCCTGCCTAAGGGACAGTCTACCCGAGTTCCCTCCCAGCTCCACCTGACCCCCTACCCTCTAGGCCAATGGGACCCGCCCTTCCAGGCAGTATTTTATAGAATTGCTGGGCTGGACTTCAGCCCCGCCCCCAGCAGCCAGCCCTGCTCAAGGGGAGTTGCCCTTTTAACTGTCATATTAATGACTTTCCTGGATCCTTCTGGACCATTCATCACTTCCCACACCCTTTTGCACACCCCTGTAGAAAATAACCAGTTACATCACCTGTGCCAGTAGTGGGAATTTGCTTCACTTCACCCCTTCCACTTACCAAAAGAGGAACTTGAGGCTGTGGAAGTATTCATTTCTAGGACAGATGAACTGGAGGGCCCTTCTGACTAAGTCAGCAGACGTGCCAGACAGTTGTCTCTCCCCTGCTTCTGACCGGCCAGGTGGTCTCTTGCAGTGCTTCATGAACGCCATTCTGCAGTGTCTGAGTAACACCCGGGAGCTGAGAGATTACTGCCTGCAGAGGCTCTACACGCGGGATCTCAGCCACAGCAGCAAGGCCCACACAGCCCTCATGGAAGGTAAGGAAGTCGTGCATGGACACGGCCCTGCGTCCCTCTGATGCTTTTTCCACTCTACTGTTGCTGCACTAGTAGTTGTGTTTTATATGCACCTCTCCTGTTTCTCTTTTTTTTTGGCTTCTTTTTGTTGAGATTCTTGGTTCAGAATTTCTTATAGGAAACGTGTCACCAGTGCCCCGCACCCCCTTTCTGCCCTCTCCTTCCCTTAGAGTTTGCAAAACTACTCCAGACTATATGGACGTCATCCCCCAATGATGTGGTAAGCCCCTCTGAGTTCAAGACCCAGATCCAGAGATATGCACCTCGCTTCGTCGGCTATAAGTAAGGGCCCTGCAAGCATGCCCCCCAGGGCGGGCGGCGGCCCCAGAGGGTCCTCGGGGCACGCACGTCTCACACCTCTTCTTCGGGTTCAGTCAGCAGGATGCTCAGGAGTTTCTTCGCTTCCTCCTGGATGGGCTCCACAACGAGGTGAACCGAGTAACAGTGAGGCCTAAGTCCAACCCTGAGCACCTCGAGCATCTTCCGTAAGTAAGAGAAATGCCGTGGGGAGCTGGAGCTTCTTGCTGCATTGAGGGCGGTGGTGTGGGGAGAAGGCTGAATATGAAGGGTTTCAAATGGTGGACCCTTAAGCCTATCATGCTCTTCGCTCTGACCCAGTTGTCTTCCCCTCCTGGCTCCTAGTGATGATGAGAAAGGGCGACAGATGTGGAGGAAGTATCTCGAAAGGGAAGACAGTCGGATTGGGGGTAGGTGCATGACTCGGGGGAAGCCCTGCTTTCCTAACTGCTTTTGCCTAAACAGCATGAAAAGCCCTAAGAACCAGGGAACCCACTTTCTGCCTGGTGTCCAAGAAACAGAGGCTGGAGCCATGGGAAGGGAGACACTGTGTGGCAGACCGTGTGTCCCCTGCCTTTTGCTAAAGCAGCCGGTGTCCATCTCTCTCCCAGATCTCTTTGTTGGGCAGCTGAAAAGTTCCCTGACGTGTACCGACTGTGGTTACTGTTCTACAGTCTTCGATCCTTTCTGGGACCTCTCACTGCCCATTGCTAAGGTATGCACCCTGCTGCCCCTCTTTTGAAACTCCCTCTCTAATCCTTCTGGGTCATTGACCTCAGACCTTTACTTTTTTCTCTCCCAGCGAGGTTATGCTGAGGTGACTTTAATGGACTGCATGAGGCTCTTCACCAAAGAGGATGTGCTGGATGGCGATGAAAAGCCAGTAAGTCACCCTTGCACACCTGCGAGAGCACAGCTCCAGGCCTCTCAGGGAAAGACACTGTCACCAGCAGCCCCCTGGCGTCCCCACACCCTACCTGGCTCTTCACGTCATGTCTTTCAGATGTGCTGTCGCTGCCGAGCCAGAAAACAATGTATCAAGAAGTTCTCCATCCAGAGGTTCCCAAAGATCTTGGTGCTCCGTATCCTTAAGATCTGGCAGGGCAGGGCCTTGGCTTTAGAGGGGCTGGTGACAAGGGGCTGGCAGGGTGAAGGTGAGCAGGGTAGGAAGGTAGGAAGCTGGGGACTTCCCTCGGTTGCCTGCTCTTCTGCTTCCTGAGAAGTGCAGTCGCCCTCTTAGGATCCAGCCTCCGATGCTTTGATGCAGTTCTTGCTGCCCTGTCCGTCCTTGACCCACATTCACACCAGATCTGAAGCGGTTCTCGGAATCCAGGATACGAACCAGCAAGCTCACAACATTTGTGAATTTCCCGCTAAGGGACCTGGACTTGAGAGAATTTGCCTCAGAAAACACCAGTGAGTATTTTTCAGCTGGAAGGTCGGAAATGAGGCACAAGTGTCTGAGATCCAGATGGCAGGCCAGGGGGTGGAGGGCAGCTGCCAAAAGTGAGTTATAAAGATTGGGAGAGGAGGCAGGAGGAGGAGCCATGGGGCCGAGGAGGGCCACGGGGACTCGACGCCTTCTGTTTCCTCCTTAGACCACACTGTTTACAACCTGTACGCTGTGTCCAATCACTCCGGTACCACCATGGGAGGCCATTATACAGCCTACTGCCGGAGCCCGGTGACAGGCGAATGGCATACTTTCAATGACTCCAGGTAAGACAGGTCTCAGGGCTCCTGGCTGTCAAGACACCTGTACCTCATGCATCCATGTGGCTTCCACCTAACTGGACAGAAAAGATCAAAGCCAGAAAGCCATGTGTCACATGTGAGTCTCCTGCCCATTTGAAGAATCTCTAGAAGACAACGAAAGAGGTTGGCTTCAGGTGTACAGTGAGAGATTAGAGATGGGCCCTCTGCCACCCAGCCCGCGGTCCCAGGGCCCCCCCGCCCCACCAAGGCTCTGACTTTTCCCTGCTCTCTCCACAGTGTCACACCCATGTCCTCCAGCCAAGTGCGCACCAGCGACGCCTATTTGCTCTTCTATGAATTGGCCAGTCCAGCCTCCCGCATGTAGCAGCAAGGAGCTACATCCCTTTCTCCGTTCCCTGTGGTGGCCCCACACCCCAAGTTTTTTTTTAAAAGACAAAAAAAAATACCGACAAATAAGAGAAAAATAAACTAAAGCTGCCGAGCAGGAGCTGCCTTAGCCTGGCCACAGCCTGGAGCAGGGAGCCAGGTGCTCCTGAGCCATGCCCAGCAGGGAAGATCGACAGGACGCAGAGACCAGGGCCGGCAGCGCAGCGCCTTCTCGGCTTCTCTTGTTTGCATTTTTAGACCTGTGATTTTGTCCCGTGTGTAACGAACAGCAGCGGTCCGCGTGCAGGAGATCCTCGTCCGCTGCTGCGGGCACCAGCCCCCTCGCCGCCCGAGAAGACAGCGCCCTCTAGAGCCTCGGGCCTGCACTGCCCACCAGGACCCTGCTCACCCGTCCAGAAGCAGAAAAAACGTCCTGAGCCAGGAGCCCCCTCAACTCTGCGAACTCCAGGGGGACAGACGGGACATCTTTGAAAAAAGCTGGTTTTGGTTTTTAAAAGCCCAACTGTTTTTTTAATTACCACAACTATTCAGACCAGAGATGCTCTCCTTCACAGCTGGGACGCTGGTCTTTTTTTTTTTTTTAATTCTTCAAATACAACTTTTCTAACGCTAGCCCTCAGTGGTGCTAGGTGGGTGTTGGCCACGCCCCAAGCACAGCCACAGTAGACCTGGGATCTAATAAGTTTTTCTGTTTGTTTTTTAAAATGTTTTGGATGGAATCTAGTTGCCTCCAAGAATTGTGCCTTATAGCATTTGGGGACCAGGGGGTAACTGCCCCTCCCTGAAATATCCTTCAGTCTCTTCCTCTTCCCCAGTGCCATGTTCAGCCCGCTGGGGGAGCTAGGGGCATGTCCTTCGCCCCTGGCTTGTTCAGTGAGGTGACAGAGCAAGTAAAAGATTTCTTCCGCTAGCGTATGGAGTTCTCCCTGCCCAGTTCCTCCAACCTGCCTCTGGTCCACTCCCTAGTTGTTTGAAGGAAAGTGCAAGCCCCTTCTCCCTGCATACTCTCCCCTTTATTTATTCCCTTTTAAGATGCTTTTTCTCCCTGACCATCCTGCCCCCGCCTTCTCAGAGCCTCCCAGATGTAGGCCCTTTGGACCGGATTTCTCAGGGACGCCCATGCCGCCCCTCAGCTCCTCTTGATGTCAGTCTGCAGTTCTGTCCTGGGAACTGGAGCCTGGGTGTTTGGGGCATCTTGCCGCAGTTGTGTGACTCCTTCCCATGGTCTTGATTTTGCCCTAAGTAATTGGACAAAACTCTTCTGCCGAAAATAAAGTGGTTCTGCACCAAGGCCGGGAGCTCTGCATGGAGCTCTTTGCATCCACATAGCTGGGCCTGGCTTGTGCCCCTCAGGGCCTGGAGCTTCCCAGTGCTCCCAGCAAGAGGCATCAGGGAAAGACACCCCAAGTTTAACTTGCCCGACGCCCTTCTCCAGGGAAGACCTATGAACCTGAGCCACAGGGCTGCTGTGTACTTGTTTACTGTGTAAGCAAGAGTAGAAGCGTGTCTAATGTACAGTGGAACCTTGTACAGAATAAATCATAGCTTTGAGAAATAAGTTGGCAAGTGATGGAGTCTTGATTTGGGAGGGGTTTGAACCCAGAATAAGCTCCTAGCATATCAGTGGCCAAATATTTTTACCGCTTAAACCAGATTATAAATTCCAAGCTCTGGGAAGTTACCCAATTCCATAACACTGAGAAGAGCACACTACATTCATCTGGATTCATTGGTTATTAACATTTTGCCCCATCCATTTATATATACTTTATTCTTTTGGGTAAAACATTTAGGGGTGAGGTGTTTTCACCACTTCTAAATGCCTTAGCATGCACCTCCTGAGAATAAGGACCTCCCCCGGCAATCTCAACACCTCTTCACAGCTAAAGAAATTAGTCTATCAACAGACATTTCTTTACATGGACTGTGCGCTTTGTAACTGCTGGTAGGGCACTCCGGCAGTTTGTGGTCACACTTAGTGGGCCCGTACAGACCTGTGACACCCTGAAACAAGTCCCTCCAGCAGAGGCCAAACCCAAACAGCTTGCCCTTGGATGAGAGGGCCTGTGCCCGGATGTGGGGTGATCGAAGCTTGGTCCTCAACCAACGGTCTCAACCTGCCTTATCAATATCTCAAAAGAGCTATTTTTGTGTTCAAAGTGCTTTTTTCAGAGAGACTGCCTCTTTGGGGCACCCAGGGGCTCATCATCTTTGGTTTTGTTTTTTAGTTCTTAGGACTTGTTCAGATTTTCCATTTCTGCCACTGATTTTGTAACTTCGGAAGTTGAGCTTAAGAGCGTTTTATTGGGATTGTTCCTAACTGGCTTCCCTACTACAGACACTGAACAGACAAGGCCTATCTATTCCACCCTGGCTGAGACAGCGGTGCCTGCTGTCAGACACACCTGGTGGGATGAAACAGTAGCGGGGGTGCTTTTTCTAGGCACTCCCCAAGAGTGGAAAAAAGATTGAAAACAGTGCCCCAGACCCTGGGCTCCTGACCTGGAAGTGGCCTGACCCAGAATAGATTTTGATGATTTCTCCCAGGCAACACATGAACAGGATGGCCTTCAAAATGGAAATATTAGGCTTATAGCAAAACAGATGGGTCAGCCCCAAATGAATGTACCTTGCTACACACCTCTCCTAGCTAGCTTTTGTTGTCTTCTGCTTGGAGACAGACAGAATCTAGGTAATGCTGAGGGCTATCTGGGCAGGGGCTCAGTCCACTCCACCCTTGCTCCCAGCTTTGCCTTCTGTACTTAACCTGTGGTGCTTTCTCATCCCCATGGCAACAGGTCCTAGCGCTACACAGATCCCCAACACAATCTGCCCCAGGTCTCTTTATCCATCAGCTTTGCCTCCTAGCGAGGATTCCTTCCCCATTCTGCTCACATTCCAGCAGGCCTCTCCCTGGGGGAGCTACTCCCCCGCCCCTGCTCTCCTGTGACCTTGAGCAAGAACCTCCCTCTCTCAGGGCCTCGGGCCTCATCTGTGAATTAAGGAGATTGGACTAGCGGACCTTGAAGGTCTCAGCTCAGGTGTCCCCTACTCCCTTTTTCTCTATAAATCCATGCCTCAAGTCCTAAGTTAGAGGATTTACCTCTGGTTTCCTGGTTCCAGTTTATACAGCTACTCTACATACAGTTGTTTGTAAGTGACCGCTGCTCAGAAACACATGACTTCCCAAAAAACTAGCGTTCGGACCAGAGGGGTCACCCTGTCCTCATCCTCAGTTTGCCAGTGAGGACAAGCAGGAGGCGAGGCCTGCTCAAGCCCCCCAGCTTGTCAAGGGCAGAGGCGGGATGGGACCAGGTATCCTGACTCTCCACCCAGGTCCCTTTCCATCTGAGTTCTCTGCCTTTTGAGTGAATAACTGATAGCATTTTGCAGAACTTTCTGCAGCAAATTTTCCAACCCTCTATCTATTAGGAACTGAGCTGAACAGCAGTGTAACTAGGGAGCTTCCCAACTATACATCCACACACACCCCAGAGCAAAACCAGCACGATCTATTGAATATGCAGGCCCCAGGAAGGTCAGCCCTGGGCATCTCTGAGCGTCCCCGTCCTTCATTGATCTATGGGCAGAAGCAAGCACCTGGGCAAGGAGGCAGGCGGCAGCAGAAAGAGGCTAGCATTGTAGTCCAAGCACATTAATCTCCTTGAGCCTCACTTTCCCCCTGTTTAATCTGAGCATAACCATACCTACTCTGAGTTGTATCTGGCACATAGTAGGTTGTCAACAAATGTCCATCCTACCCCAACACCACCATTTCTAGGACTGCACCATCAACACTCCATTAAAATTTCAGTGGACGACCCTTGGCCAATGTTTGGCCCACCTGGCCTCTCAGGATGCTTTTGCCTTCTTTTCCCCACAAACGTGATGAAGGCTTAGGAATGCAATGTCAGTGTAGCACCGCCCAAACCAAGCAGAATCAGTGAGGTAGAATGCCACTAAATCGACGGTCCAAACCCAAGGGTAAGCTTTCCTGATTTCCTGGTGTTTGGCATGCCTGCCTCTCGGAGGGAGCCACGGATTGGCTGGGACTGAGCTGCAGTCCAGGTTCCTAGAGACGAGGGAAGATCCAGGGACCAGGGCATGAGGGTCAGGCCAGTCTGGCAGTGAACAAGGAGAGGAGGAAGGAGGACATCTGACAGAATTAGGGGAAACAAAGGTCCTAATGCACACCTCTCGTGCCGGTCCTGGGAGCAAAGAAAAGGAGGGGATTGCACATCCGAGGACACACCAGGCAGACCAGACTGCTCCAGGGACACTGGAGAAGCACATCTGGCTGCAGTAGAAGGTTTGAGCTGGAGAACTAGCAGGGGAAAAAGCCAGAGAGCTGGAGACCTAGAACGTTAGAGCCAACCCCAAGCTGGCCTCGCCCTGGTGGCCACAGAGAGCAGAGGACAGAGAACTGTGCCTGGGCTCAGCACGGGGGAGCTCAGGGAACCACGCGTTCAGGAAGAAAACAAAGGCCCAGTGGAGCTTCCAGGGCTAGAGGCCGCTTGGGCAAGACTGGAAGTAATACTGTATATTCCCTCTGCCCAGAGGATGGCCCTGGGCAACAGCAAAGCCAGGGTGCAGCTTGCCACGCCTCTGGGAAGCCACACTGTGTGCTCACGAGTGACAGTAAGCAAGGCAAATATCTTAGTGTTATTATGGAAATACTCTGACCTCTCAGACCCTCCAAGAGTGGCCCACATGGGAGGATCAGGATCCAATAAAAGGCTTGCCCCCTTGACAGGAGCCCAAAGCCCTGGAGGGAGTGTGGGGTGTGGGGAAGAACCTGGGGGTGGGGGGACCCTCCTGAGTGCAGGAAAGCTGCCTTAGAAACACAGCATCTGCCTCCTCTGTTTCTTTTCTCCTCTCCGATGGCCTCACTTTGTTCCCCGAAGTCACCAACATGCCTCAGCCACAGTGTAGGGAGGGATGTTATAGGAAACATCTGCTTTGGATTCGCCCAGTCCTAGGTTCTACTCTTGTCTCTGTATCTTGCCAGCTGTGTGACCTTGGAGAAGTTACTTAACCTCTCAGAGCCTCTCGTTGGTAAAATGGTTCTGCTACCTCACAGCCTCACTAAAGGAGAGAGACGGCATGTAAGACCTCTCACCCAGGGCCTCCTACAAATGGTAGCCAGGAATATGCTGCTGCCTCCCCACCTCCTGCCTTGCCCAGCTCTCCACCCTGGCATGGCTAACACAGAACAGACGAACAGCCCCTTTCCTTTCTCCCTGAGAAGGCTGCACCAGGCTGGGTTTTCCCATGAGATTGTCCCTAGTGGAGGGAGAGGCATGAGGTGACGTCGTTTGCAGAGTGTGGGTTTCCTGTCATACAGCAGCATATGGCACTGACTGCTGGACTCCACGGTCTATCCGAGGGGCCTCCCTGACCGGCCCTGTCTGAGATCTGTCCTTGCTCCCACCTCTACACCCTCCTGCAGGCTAGGGGTCTCCAGGCAGAGGCAGCCGGCCCCGCGACCTCCTCATGTCAGCACAGGCATAAGCAGCCCGGACACACCACGCTCTTCCTGGTAATGGCTTATCTCCTCGTCCTGGTCACACAGGTACTTTAACAGGGAACCTTCCAAGACCCAGGCTTGGCTAATGCGCCAGCCGCCCCAGGGAGGAGTGTGGGTGGCTGGTTCTGGCCAGGCCCCTTGGACCCAGAGGCCCTGAAGCTCCAAACGCTTACATGCAGCTTCTAAGGCTCCTCATACCGACAGGGCAGCCCCACTGTCCTCCTGCCCTCCCAGCACCCCTTGGGGGCTCACTCAGTACGTTGGGAGAGGTTAGGAAAATGGGGCACCCAGCTCCCCTAATCACACACACACCCCACCCCAAGCACCTAGTTTCTTCTGTGGATGGTCTCAGCCACTTGCCTGTGCCTTTAAGGACCGCTGCCCTGCACCAGGGTCTTGACCTCAGTATCCTCAGCTGAGCTGGATTAAGGGACCATTTCATGCCTTTGCGAATTCCTTCTGGCTGCTAGCCCTTCCCCCACACAGAAGCAGCCAGTAGCCAGAACCCGTCTGCCAAGAGCAGCCTGTTCCCTCAGGGAGCAGAGGCTGCCCTTTGATAGGGGGTTTGGGGTCGGGGAGTGGGCCTTCAGGGGTCTTAGACTGTCACAGGAAATCCAGAAAGCCATGCAGAGCCTTGAGCCATGAAGGACTGCTCAGATATCATCCTCTGTGTGGAGGCAACAGAGCTGAGCAAGGTAAGGGTCACACAGGACCACTCGCTCAAGCCCCAGATGCCCGCCCAGGGCTGGCAGTGCCCAGTGGACACACCTGCCCAGCAGTGTTGCCACGGGCCTTCGGTCCTCAACTCTCCCTTTCAGAGCGAGTTCTGCAACCCTGCATTTGAGCCCGAGTCAGGGCCGACTTGCTCCACCCCGGTCTTCCAGGAGGATGCCAGCCGCAGCACCCGAGCTCCCTGGCACGGTACCCATCTCAGGGGTGACCTGGGGGCAGGAGAGAGAGGCCCAGCCGCTGAGAGCAGCGTGAGGGACGCCCAAGGGAAGGGGCTCTCAAAATCCCACCCACAGGTCGGCGTCCCCGAGGGCTGCAGCCAGACTGCCACTTCTCCTGGCTGTGTGTCCTCCTGCTGGCCGGCCTGCTGCTCCTGCTGCTCGGGCTTCTGGTAGCCATCATCCTGGCCCGTAAGTATCCGGGCTCTGCCTGGGAGAAGGGCTTCAGAATGGGACCCCATGAGCCACTCTGTCCGTCCCCCACCAAGGACCCAGCTCCTCTGAATTCCACTCCCGTCATCCCACCCCAAGAGTTGCAGGCTACCCCACCATCCAGGGCCTCCTATCATCCGCTGCCTGCCCACGGCCTCACCACCACTGCCCCGCAGGCAACTGGGAGCCCTAAAGGACAGCAGGAGGCAGGCATGAGCCCCACACCACAGTCCAGTGAGTACTCAAGGCAGATCTTCCTGGAGAAAGGTCTGAGCTGGCAGGAGCGGGAGGCCAGGAAGAGGTGCCTATGAAATGAAAGGGTCTCTCTCCTTTTAACCTCTGAACTGTAACCTCCATCTCTGCAGCCTGTGGGGGCCTCCTTCCTGGCCCAAGGGGTTTCCTCAGCAGCCCCAACTACCCAGACCCTTACCCACCCAATGCTCACTGCGTGTGGCATATCCAGGTGGCCACAGACCATGCAATACAGCTCAAGATTGAGGCTCTCAGCATGGAGAGTGTGGCCTCCTGTCTTTTTGACCGCTTGGAAATCTCCCCCGAACCAGAAGGCCCCCTTCTCAGGTAGGTCCCTCTGCCCCCCAGAGATCCACCCCTGTTCTGAACCACTGTCTGGAGGGCAGAACGAGGGAGCTGTAGTGGGAAGGGCTGAACTGGGAGGAAACTCAGAGACTTGACCTCTGGGCCCACCATCTTCCTGGATGACCTTGGGAAGGGCACTTCTCTCTGACCTCAGTTTCCAAATCTGTAAAATGGAGCTCCCACCTATCTTCCCCATGTATAAATGCTGCAAGGATGGCTGCACAGGTGCTGGGAAGGTTGAAGCTCCCCCGGGGAACGAAGGGAGCCTTTTTGACCCAGCATCACCAGGTCAGGGCTTGAGGAAGAGTCACTGCAGGGCATGGGCAGGCTCCACTTGACTGGCCCTGAGCTCGGTGCCTCCACCACCCCCAACCTGGCTTCTTGCAGAGTGTGTGGGAGGGTGCCTCCCCCCACACTCAACACCAACACCAGCCACCTCCGCGTGGCCTTCGTCTCCGACAGCAGTGTGCAAGGATTCGGTTTCCATGCCTGGTACCAGGCTGTGGCTCCTGGGCACGGTGAGTGCTCTCCCACCATGCCCCCAGCTCCCTGCCAAGTGTCCACCCCACTCCCCTCAGACACTCCCAAAGGGGTGGAGGTCTGGGGGTCTCTGAACGGCGATGCCTGCCCCCAGGGAGCTGTGCTCGCGACGAGTTCCCCTGCGACCAGCTCGCCTGCCTGCTCCCGGACTCAGTGTGTGACGGTTTTACCAACTGCGTGGACGGCAGCGACGAGAGCAGCTGCAGGGCCGAGTCTGCGGGTATGGGTCCCACCAAGCCTGGGCGGGAACTGGCTTCAGCTCTCTGACCCCCCTCAAGCCTGGGCTCCCCAGCTCCAGCCCCGCCCCAAACCTGCCTGATCATTCTTCCAGCCCAGAACTTGGTTCCCCAAGGGCCAGGCCAAGACTCTTCCCAGGGGTCACTGCGGGCCCTGTCGGGAAGGTGGAGACCCGGCAAAACTCATGTGCCCCTTGGCCTCTCCACAGGGTGTGGAGGAAACCTGACTGGGCTCCAGGGCACGTTCTCTGCTCCCAGCTACCTGCAGCAGTACCCCCACCAGCAGGTAAAGCAGCGCTCCGTGGGGGGGCCGTGTGGCACATGTAGGTCAGTGTGACCGGGAAAACCAAGGGAGACACTGCTTTGTCCCTGGGATGGTCAGAGACCAAGCAGGCAAGAAGGGAACATTATTAAGAGCCTACTAGGTTTCCGGATGTTCCCGGGCTGGGGAAACATCTTTGAGACCAGACAAGTTCAAAGCCTCCTCCAGCACATTGAGAGCTCTGTGGGCAGCGCCACCTACTCCCCACCTAGCCTGCAGCCCAGAGGAAGCCCTTCTGGAGCTCAGCCTGGATGCCCAGATTGGGACAGGAGAAGGAACCTGTGAATGACTCCATCTGTGCCCGCCCCCAGCTTTGCACCTGGCATATCTCGGTGCCTGCAGGCCATGGCATAGAGCTTCAGTTCCACAACTTCAGCCTGGAAGCTCAGCACGAGTGCAAGTCTGACTACGTGGAGGTGTATGAGACCAGCGACTCAGGGGCCCTTGGCCTCCTGGGCAGGTATCAGTAGAGCCTGGGACACACCAAGGATAAACTCCAGCCTCCATGTCTAGCAGCCAAGGCTTCCTAGAAATTCACCCCGCACATTCTCTGGCTTCGTTTTCTTCTGCTACTCCAAGCGAAAGGTCTCCACCATCTTGTTCAAAAACAGCTCAAAGCCCATGCTCCTTACGTGGCCTTTCTCCACCAAGTCCTTTCCCAAGCCTCTCCCCTGCCAGCTCTCCTGCCCCGCAGGCTCCTTTCCCACTTGCCCCATGACCTTCCCCGCTTTCTCCCATCTCAGAGTGGCTCAAGGTCAAACCATCTGTCTAATCCTTGGTACACGGCACATCTGTGTCTTCCTGCCAGGCTCTAAGCTCCATGCATCAGCGGCCATTCCTCCCAGCTCCTCAGGCCTCACGCGGAGCACCCGGTGGCTTGTGGGAGGCCTCAGGGCACCCTCCATCAGCCCCTGCCGTGCCCAGGACTGCTTTCTGCTTTGGCAGGTTCTGTGGAGCAGAGCCACCCCCTCGCCTCGTCTCTTCGCACCACCAACTGGCTGTGCTTTTTAGGACCAATCATGGCATCAGCAGCGGGGGCTTCTCAGCCACCTACCGGGCCCTCAATGCCACAGACAGTAGGTGTCCCTGGGTGAGTGGGTGTGGGCAGTGGAGGTGCCGCCAAGAGACTGAGGAAAGGCCCTGGACCCTGGTCAGCGCATCATGAAGGCAGTGCAGGTCCAGGCATGTGCCAGGGCACTGCCATGCTCCCATTGCTTACAGACTTCTGTGGGCCTGGAGCATTCTCCTGCCAGGATGGAGGGTGTAAGAGTCTGCAGTGGATGTGTGACGCATGGAGGGACTGCATGGATAACAGTGCTGACAACTGCAGCAGCCCCTGGCTCCCTGCCCCAGGTGAGAAGCCTGCCCCAGAGCGCCCGGGGTCAAGGCCTGCAGACCTAGGCAGGCTGGGGACCCATTCATAGAAACCCTGCAGGCACACTTCACACCATCCTGGTTCTGGGATCACTCTCTCTCCAAGGTGGCAAGAGCACTGCATGTTCCCCCCAAAGGGAAATGGGAATCTGGCAACCAATGGTTGGGGCTTCAAGAACCAGCCTAGTGTTGTCACACAGAGAGTCCACAGCCTGCCTCAAAGAAGAAGGTGAGAGCAGGGCAGTTCCTTCCGGATGTCCAGCGGCCCCTGCCAGTGCTGGTACCCCATGCTCCCTGGGATCATCGAGGTGCCTGCCTGATGTCCAGGGCTGCTGACACTTGGAGCAGGCTCTCGGGGACAAGGAATCTGAAATACGTGTAAAGCATCTTCCATGTCACCTCCTTCGCTTCTCACAACAACCCCTGTCTGACCCATACAGAGCAATTAGGTGACTTGTCCCAGGTCCCCACAATGACCCTCCCCTCCCACCCCTGCAGAGCTGGCCTGTGAGCCTGTCCAGGTGGAGATGTGCATCGGCCTGAGCTACAACACCACGGCCTTCCCTAACATCTGGGTGGGCATGGCCACCCAGGAGGAGGTGGTGGAGGTCCTCAGAGGTTACAAGGTGCTTTAGGCAGAGACAAGAGGGCCACCCACTCCCCCCCACCTCTGGGAAAAGGAGGGAACCTGGGGAGCAGGGTGCTTGAGCGCTGATCTCTTCCTCCCACAGAGCCTAACAAGTCTGCCCTGCTACCAGAATTTCCGGAGGCTCCTCTGTGGATTGCTTGTGCCCCACTGCACCCCACTAGGCAGTGTCCTTCTCCCTTGCCGTTCTGTCTGCCAGGAGGCAGAGCGCCAGTGCCAGTCTGGCCTGGCACTACTGGGCACCCCGTGGCCCTTCAACTGCAACAGGCTGCCTGAGGCGGCTGGCCTGGAGGCCTGTGCCCAGCCCTGACCCTGAAGTGGGCCCCTGCCCTCTGCCTGCCTATCCTCCTTTGCTTATCAGGCTGGCAGGCAGGGGGACAAAGGAAAGGGGACCTGCATGGACTCCACCCTGTGCCCTTGACAATCTTCCCACCAGGCTGCTGTCCCTGATTTCCTGTCTCCTGCCCTCCCCCTCTCCATCTGCTTGTTTGGATTCTCTATCACCCACCTTCTGATTTTTTTTATTTATTCATTAAAAATATATTGAGTGCCAAATAATGTGGCTGGTGCTGTTCTGCTGTTCTAAGTCCTGGGGATCCGTTTGTCTCTCTGTCTCTAGGATTCTCCACCCCAGTTCTTGGCTTATTCTTCCCCTGGACCAGAGGCCCATCCTCGGCCCCTGTCGCTGCATCCTCCCTCCTTCAGGCTCCTGGGAGCAGTAGGTGCCCTGAGCATCTGCTTCTCACAGTTGTGCCGCTCTGTGGCGGGCCCAACTCTCCCCTTCCTTTCTCCTCCCAAACCTTGGCCGGCCGCCGGGCGACACGAGTTATTTCCCTATTTCCCGGCCTGGAGCTCTTGGCCCCTGAACAACTGGTTTCCTCTTGGAGTCTGGGAGGAGCAGCGCGGAGCCGGCAGGGAGCGAACCGGGACCAGGGGGACGCGGAGGGCAGGGGGCGCCCCGAGGAGAGAAGCACAGGGGCGGAAGCAGGGGTCCCTGGAGGGTAGGGACAGCAAGCGCCCGGAGGGAGGGCCCCGAGAGCGCAGGCGGCCCGGGGAGCCGGGGAGCCAGAGGGGTGAGTCTGGGCGGAGGGAGGAGGGGGAACGGGCTGGGGGAGGGGACTGTGGGAAAGTCTGGGCGCGGGCGTGGGGAGGGGTGGGTGGCTTCTCCTTTCCCCCTCGGCTGTGCGCTCAGGTCCTCGGGTCTGGGGGCGCCCCTTCTGTGTCTCCCCGCGGCCGCTCAGCCTCCGGGCCTGGCAGCGTGGCGGGGACCGCCTCGGCCGCGCTGGGGTGGGGAGCGAGGCAGGTCCCGGGGTTCTGGGGTCGCGACTCCTGTCCCGCCTGGCCCACAGACTGCGAGAGGACCCCCGGCGTTTGGACGCCCCGTGCCAACGCCATGAGGCCGCTCCTCGCCCTGCTGCTCCTGGGCCTGGCGGCCGGCTCGGCCCCGCTCAACGACAACAAGATCCCCAGCCTATGCCCGGGGCACCCCGGCCTTCCCGGCACGCCGGGCCACCACGGCAGCCAGGGCCTGCCGGGCCGCGACGGCCGCGACGGCCGCGACGGCGCGCCCGGGACTCCGGGGGAGAAAGGCGAGGGCGGGAGGCCGGGTAAGAAGGCACCTCGGGTGCCGTCTGGGGAGCTCGGCGCAGGGCGTGTCCTGCTCCTGCTCTGCAGGGCTCTAGGGTCCCCGGGGTCCCCGCCAGGGGGCACCTCCCGTCCCCGCCCGTTCCCGCTGGGCCCCGAGAGCGCGGGGAGGAAAGAGTGACTCACCGGCGGCAGCCAGAGCCCTTGGGACTGGGACCCTCTAACCAGCTCCGCAGAGCTGCCTCAGCCCTGCAGGGGAGGGGGCAGCGGGCCTGCAGCGCAGGGCGGCACGGGCCGCGGAGGTGGCGGCGGGGTCTTAGAGAGGCTGCAGGAGGGTCCCTAGAGTGTCCCCCTGCGCACCCCGCTGCGGGGGGACCTGGCCGCCACACTCACCCTAACCGGCCCCCTTTGCCCCCTCAGGGCTCCCGGGGCCCCGCGGGGAGCCCGGGCAGCGCGGAGAGGCCGGGCCTGTTGGGGCGACCGGGCCTGCGGGGGAGTGCTCGGTGCCTCCGCGCTCCGCCTTCAGCGCCAAGCGCTCCGAGAGCCGCGTGCCTCCGCCGTCGGACGCGCCCCTCCCCTTCGACCGCGTGCTGGTGAACGAGCAGGGCCATTACGACGCCACCACCGGCAAGTTCACCTGCCAGGTGCCGGGGGTCTACTACTTCGCGGTCCACGCCACCGTCTACCGGGCTAGCCTGCAGTTCGATCTGGTCAAGAATGGCGAGTCCATCGCCTCTTTCTTCCAGTTTTTTGGGGGATGGCCTAAGCCGGCCTCGCTTTCTGGGGGCGCCATGGTGAGGCTGGAGCCCGAGGACCAGGTGTGGGTGCAGGTGGGCGTGGGTGATTACATTGGCATCTATGCCAGCATCAAGACAGACAGCACCTTCTCTGGATTTCTGGTGTATTCTGACTGGCACAGCTCCCCTGTCTTTGCTTGATGCCCGCTCGCAAGTGAGCTCGCGAGCTCTCACTCCTCGGGGAGGAGGGTGTGTCACTGACGGCCACACCATCCGGGAGGGCTGGCCCCCCTGGAACGTTGTGAGTGACTACGGAGGTGGGGCGGGGGCCTCCCTGTCCTGCTACTGGCAGGGAGCGGAGCAGAGGCGTCTGAGATCAGGGCTGGCAGCACGGGGCAGTGGCTGGATTTCTGCCTAGACCAGAGGAGTGCACTGTGCTGGCAGGGGTGAGTCCCCCAGTTGCTCTGGCCCAGGACCCCAAAGTGGGGTGCTCTCTTCCTAGTCCTATGCTTCTCTGGATCCTCCCTTGTCCCTCCTCCTCCTGGGCCCTTTCTCAGAGATCAACCGTCCAATAAAACTGAAAGAAACCTCCGACCCACTCAGCCTCTCTTCTTAGCCCTGATTCTAAGGATAGTGGGAGGGAGTTGGGGGAGAAGGGGAAGATGGGGGGTGTTCAGGCAGAAGGGAGGGCTCTTGGGATGGATAAGCTTTGAGGCAGGCCCAGGTGAACCAGAGGCCAGTGCCACAGAGCTTCCCCCTAAGCTGTGTAGGTTGTGAACAGGACTGCCAGTCTGAGGAGGGTGCCCTCCTGGCATGGGACCCTGGACACCTTTTTCTAACTTCAATATGTCATCCCTGCCCTGATCAACAGAAAGGAGACTGAGATTCACATTTGTGACTGCTCTGGCTGCTTGCCTGGTCCCTAGATGACTGCAAAGCTATTTCTCTATCCCTGTGCCAGGAAGCAGTGTCCCTGGGTGTCCAGAGATAAGTAGTTTCTGAGATGACCACAAGGGGGTGGCCCCAGCTCCAGAATGCAGAATGACCCCGGGTAGTTTAAGCTCCTGATTACTAGATGGTTAGGTGGGGGAGGCAGGGTACTGAAGTCTGCCAGTGAAATTCCAGAGGTGGGGTGGCGGAGGGAAAAAGGGGTTCTCTGCTCCCAGCTCAGGAAGTTTATCTTCTCCCATAAAATGTTTATCCTCACATTAAACAGACTAGAAAGAGCCAAGCCTCCCCTTGCCTAGCTTCCTCCGCAGGGTTGGGGGAAGGGAAGAAAAGGCTCTCCCGCAGGCCTCCCAGCCACACGGCGGCCCTGGGGAGCTTCCCTGGTGTGCTGGGCATAGCCTGGGTGGGCCGCGCCACCAAGTCTGAGGCTAGCCACAAAGCCCCTGCGCGGCCCTCCTCCCCTGACCAGAAACCAGCGTTGTCCCCACCCCCAAGCAATGACTAACAAACCAGGGCCGTGAGGCCCACAATCAGCTCGGCCTCCCAACCCAAGATAAAGTGGGGGGGCCTCTCCTCCGTGTCTTCCTGACCTACCCCTTTTCCCACCTCCCCCACCCCTTTCCAGAAGGTTTCTGGGATTATGCTCCTAGATTTAACATACAATTATAGGGGAGTGGCCCCCTTCTCTTGCTGGTCATGTGAGGGCAGATATGACCAAATGAGAACGGGGCCATTTCAGCAAGCTAGACACACGTCTCAGACACCCTGGGCTTCAGGTCCCAGGTCTCCACCAGGAGGTCCTACAGCCAGACTTCAGCCAATCACAGACCCCTCTGTGTCCAGACAGAAAGGCAAGCACCAGCCCCTCCAGAGGCCAGAGGATAGGCTGGACTCCAGGCAGCAGGGGCCCCAAGTGCCCTGCTGGGAAGAGCTGCAGCAGAGGAAAAGCTGGGAAGGCTGACCGGTGGGATGAGAAAGCTGACACTCCTCTCTCCCAGGGCTTCATTCCCACAGAAATGGAAAAGGGAAAGGCAGGGCTTTCCAAAGGCCGTGTGTGAAAGGCACAAGTCAGAGGGGATGAAAGCCCATCCAGCCACACCAGAGGCTCTCGGCAGACACAGCCCCTTAGCTCGTCCCGGATCAGGTCCTCAACAGACCACCCTTGTGACGCCAGCAAGACCGAAGGGCCCTGCTGCAGCGTGTCGACCTGACCAACGGCTCACCCACGCAAGGATTCACACAGAGGCTGTCACTGCTGTTTGACGGAACTTTATTTACTGGAAACTGGGCCAGACAGACCCCTCAGGGAGCTGCATGCCCCTAGACGCTGGTCCCTTGTGTATCTGGCCCCTAGTGAAATGTGCCATCTGCCTTCCCCAAGGCCAGGGGAGACAAACAGAAGGGGAATGTCATTTCTCTGCTGTGGGGAGCGAAAGGGTTATGGGTAGAAAGAAGTCTGGTGATCCCTCCTGAGGCTCCCAGGGGAGCTGGTGTGCCAGAGGCTACATGGTCCCAAAGCCAGGGGCACCCGCCCCACCTGCCCAGAGGCAGACCCTCGTAGGCCGGCTGTCGGAGCAAGCTGGGAGAGCCTCCTAAGATCATGACAGGTAAAAGTGGCAGCTTTAGGGCACCTGAGTGATACCACCCCCAAAGCCTACCAGCACAGGTGCTTGGGCTGAAAGCAAAAGTTCCAGATAATTCTAAGGCCCAAGCTGCTAAAACACCCAAGTAACACTAATGTGCTGTGGCTGCAGAAGCTGGGGAAGAAGTGGGGAGGGAGCAGGGAGAAGACTTGCAAACCCCCAACAGGAAAACCCAAAGCAGAGAGCAAGCCCTGGAAGCTGGCATTTGGGTGGACCCTGGCAGGCTGGATGGGGGTCCACAGTGAACAGTCTCAGGGCCTTACACAGTGGCACACTCATCACAGGACCCACTGGGTTAGGAAAAGCTGTTGCCCTGCCCCCACCCGTCACTCTTCCAGAATATCCCACCTCAATGTCCTGGATCTATGGCTTGGAGGCTTGGCATGGCAGCTATGGGGGCAGGAAGGGATTCAGGCCAGAAACCAGAGGTCAGCTGTTAATGCTGTCCTGGTACAGGTGGCTGCATGGAGCATGGATGATGGACAGGCAGGGAGGGGATCTTCAGAGGTAGACATTGAGGGTCTGCAGAATGCCTCGGCGGCAGAGCGGGCAGTTGCGATGGTAGATTGGGTGGCGCATCAGGATTTCCGTGCAGGCCTGGCACAGGCACAGGTGTCGACAGGGCAGAAGCAGCACCGTCTTGCTCTGGTCCTGGCAGATGACACATTTCTTCCGCTCCTCTTGCTCCTTCAGCAACTTCCACGGGTCTTGCCCAGCTACAGGCTCCTCCTCATTGAGCCTCTCCCGGCCCCGGGCAGCCGTCACTCTGGCCAACCTGACCAACTCCTCTTCAGCCTCAGATCTGGGTCCTGCTTCAAGAAGAGGGTCCTGGCGCCAGGTCCTGGCTGAGGACACCCTCCTAGGGCCACCTTGAGGGGCCCCAGGTGCCCCTCCTCGGTTCGGCCAGCTTGCCAGCTGCAGGCTGCGGCTCCAGACTCGACGCCAGGCCTCCAGGCCCAGTACTAGGCGAGAGAGCCGCACAACATCCTCACGGAGCCGGTGGTAGGATGGCCAGGCATGGAGTTGACCGAGTACCTGGGTAGCCAGCCTCAGGATGAGGTCCGGGTGCAACACAGTCACTGTCACTGCCAGTATGCAAGCCAGCAGCACCAGGCCAGTGAGATTGACAAGCACAAAGCTGGCCAGGAGGCGGGCAGCTGAGGCAAGGAGCTCCAGGGCTAGCTGGCAGGGGGTCCAGAGAAGGATGGCCATGGCCACAGCACTGCTGGAAATATGTGCTAGGAAGGTGGCCACCACATCCGTCATCCTCCACAGTGGCCCCATCACTGCATCCCAAAGAGCCAGCACCAGGGAGAAGAGGTTCTGAGTGCCAATGAGGCAGATGTTGACCAGGCTGTTGACCACATAGGCCACCAGGCTCATGGCGATGGCACAGATGTCACAGGCCTGGCGCAGCAGAGCATGGCCATTGGAGACCACATTGAGGACACCTCGGTGCAGTATCTCCCGGCTCCTCAGAGCCCCGTGAGAGGCCAGGTGCCCCAGAAGCTTTAGGCTCTCCAGTCCAGAGCAACAGCTGTACAGCAAGGTACACAAGGCCTGCAAGCCCCCAAAGGTGAACCGGACCAAGGCTTCGATCAAGGCCAGCAGTGAAAGCAGGACTCCGCGGCCCAAGTGCAGAAGACTAGCCAGTACCGTGTGTGGCAGGTTGTAGATGAAGGCCAGCAGCCAAGCCAGGGAAGCCAGAAGGGAGGACACCAGCAGGAAGTTGAGGTCCAACACGAAGGTCAGCAGGTCCAGCACCAGGCCCATCCCATTCACTACCAGGTACACAGCCTCCATGATAGGGATGTGGAAGTTAGTCCAAAAGGAAGTCTGGCTTAAGGGGTCGGGGATTAATTTGAAAGGGAAATGAACAGTCTCCAACCCAGGGATCTGAGGAAGAAATCAAGAATCTGAGGAAGAAATGGGTTAGAGAAAGTGGAGGCTCAGTGTTGGAAAACGGGGCCAGATGCCAGTTCAGGAATCCCCGTTTTGAAGGCAGACTGTTTGGGAGGAAAGACGCCAAACATCCTCAAGTGGAGGTGAGACCGGGCTGGATGAGAGGGCTCAGCTCTGGAAGTCTAGTGGTGGCGAGCCACAGCCTGGCAGTGGGTCAGACCGAGAGGAGACCGGGAAGAGATGGGATCGGGCCGGGGCCGGGTGGGGCGGCGCAAGCTGGGCGCGGGCTCGCGGTCCAGCTACGCAGGTGCCCCTGTCCCCGCCCGGCCCCCGTCCTCTGGGCTCGCGGCCCTTTGCGTCCAAAGGGAGAGTGGGTAAGGATACCAGCCTCAGCAAACCCCAGGCGCGGCCTCTCCTCCTCTGGGCGCCGCCATCTTGTCTGCGAAGGGGTGGGGAAAGAGGCGTGGCACAGAGGGCGGGCGACGAACTCTGGCCAATTGTTGAGGGCCAATCCCAGGAAACGTCGAGCATTCATTGGTCCGTTCGAACGGCGCCCAAACATATTTACTCTCCAAAGGAAGGAACGGGGACAGATTGAAATCCCCGCCCCCTCGAGGCGGTGATTGGTTAGTTACCTCGCAGAGGCGGAATATGCCCCCGTAGCCCCGCCCACTAAAGGTGTGGATTTAGACTGGGCCAAATACGGGCGCTGTTCTTTCTCAGGGCCTTGGGGCGTGAGCTTTATAGGTGCCAGTTGGCGGCTACTGCCTCTGAGCTGGAATTGCACCTCTTCCTCAGACTCGCTGCCTCGTCCTCTATTCATTCATTCATTCATTCATTCGTTTATTCTACCAGTTACTGGGGATACAAATGCATTGGGAACACAAATGCAATAGGAACACCTATTGAAGGTACATGCTATCAAACAGTTCACAAGGGGAAACAGATTGTTACCGGGAGATTCCCAAACTGCTGTTTTGATTTCCTCAAGCTCCCTCATTCTCAGGGGATTACTTCATTGCCCTTGAGAAAAGGAGGCCACAGACCGGACTCTCTTACACAAGCCCCTATTACTTTGTTTACTAGAAGGCTCTAGTTAGATATCGACTCACTGGAGGCTCCAGGTTTCTCAAGGAGTTGTGCTTTTCTTTAATACTCAAGTAATATACAAATACATTTCAGACTCCAACCCAAATATATTGGAAGTCTGGTGTTCTCTATTAATTATCAAAGACAAATTCAAAAGGTTTGTTTTTATGGCATTGTGGATGCTATAACCTCAATCTCCCCATCAAGCATTCAGTAAAATCTGTTATTGCCCTGGTTTTAGAGTTAGACTTTTTTTTCCCTCTTTGATTTAATTTTGCTCTTTCTTTATGCAAATCATTGACAGGATCTCAAAGTCAAAACTTTATAAAAAGGTACATTCGTAGGAGATTTGCTTTCATCCTTCCCCCCTCACTCTATTCCCTCCCAGTACCACACAGGGCCCCACAAATAACACATACCAAACATTCCTTGGTCCATCAGAATCCAGGGTTTGGCACTGGTACAGCAGAATCCATAACTCTAAACATCAGTTCTGGTAATAACACCGTTCAGGCCCAGAGAAGCTCCTCTCCACATCTTATAACCTATTTCCTGGAAGCTTGAGGTGACAGTGTCCAGTTGCCTCAAAGATCTGTGGTTTCTGTGGGGTAGGGAGGATTTGAGCAGTTAAACACTTAGGTGAGAAAAGAAATACATTAATTAACTTTTCTTCCTGTTCTAACAAGTAGTTTCAGAAGTACTCAGAATAATGAAATATTTACAATATTCATTCATATTTTTTTAAATGTGCATAATGTAAGTCTAGGTGAAACATGAAACATGCATGCATACTTAATTTTTTTTAGGCCTTTTTTGACATAAGGACTGGAATAGAGCAACTTACAATTTTAGGCTTTGGTCTTGATTTAGAATATTATTGAGAGCAAGTCCATGATAATGGGACTGATATAGTTAATAAAGCTAAAGGTGAACAGGTCATTTTTTTTAACCAAAAATCCAGAAGCATTTTCTGTGCCATGCACCTCGAATGGCACACAGTTGAACTTGTTGCTAGACATGACCTCAATTGTGCTGATCATGAAAGCATTCTTTAGGACAATGAAAGGATTATATATATTAATATTTTCTAGATCTGCCCAAAGATGAAACATCTTGGAAAAACGCATCTCACATTTGACCTTACACACCACTCTTGGACACATGATGGAAATGCTGCCTAAATGCTCTTAATGAGGTTTAATTTAGACAAAATACTCAAAAGAATTTGAAGAGCTAAGCAAAACAATGGAAGATGCTCAACAACAAATCACAGTCTCAAGTAGAAAATGAAATTACATTTGTTTTTTGGTATCATTAATACACAATCACATGAGCAACATTGTGGTTACATATCCCATGATGAAATTACTTTTGAATATGCATTACCCAAAGGTGTTTGAGATGGACTATTGCTTAATATTAATAACACTGACAAAAGTTTAACCAAAAAATCTAAATTTGACTATTTTAGTTTGTTTATTTGCAATTGGTGAACCAATACTGATACATTGTTACTATTAACTGAAGTCCATCGTTTATATCTGGGTTCACTCTGTGCTGTACATCCTATGAGTCTTGACAAATGCGCAATGCCATGTGTCTACCATCACAGTGATATGGAATATTTTCATTGCCCCCAATACCCCCTGTGCTCTTCCTATTCATCTCTTTCTTCTCTCCACCCCCACCCGCAGCCATTACTGATCTTTTTATGCTGTCTCCTTTTTATAGAATGTCATATTCTTTTCTAGAATGTCCTATCATTGGAAACATATAGTACATAGTCTTTTCAAATTAGCTTCTTTTACTTAGTAATATGCATTTAGGGGTCCTCCAGGTCTTTTTGTTGCTTTTTCTGTGCAGATTTGCTTTCATCCTGTCCCCTTCACTCTATTCCCTCCCAGTACCTTCCAGTACACAGGGCCCAACAAATCACCAACATACCAAACATTCCTTGGTCCATCAGAATCCAAAAACGCACTTGTTTTGATCCCTAAATAATACTGCCATTATATGGATGTACCTATCAATTTGTTTATCCATTTACCTATTGAAGGATATCTTAGTTGATTCCAAGTTTTTGCAATTATGAGTAGAGCTGGAATAAACATTCATGCACAGGTTTTTGGATGGACATTAGGTTTCAAGTCATTTCAGAAAACGCCAAATAGAATGACTGCTGGATCATATGCTAAGGGTATGTTTAGTTTTGTTAGAAACTGCCACACTGTCTTTCAAAGTGGCTATACTATTTTGCATTCCCACCAGCAATGAATGAGCATCTCTGTTGCTCCACACCCTCTCCAGCATTTGATGTTAGTGTTTCAGATTTCAGCCATCCTAATAGGTGTGTAGTAACATCTCATTGCTGTTTTAATTTACAACTCCCCCATGACAAATGTTGTTGGCATCTTCTCATATGGGTATTTGCTATATACCCATCTTCCTTGGTGAGGTGTCTGTATAGGTTTTGGACCACTTTTTAATTGGGTTCTTTGTTTTCTTATTGTTGAGTTTAAGAGTTCATTGTATATTTTGGATACCAGTTCATTATTAGATGTGTTTTGCAAATATTTTCTCCCAGTCTGTGACTTATTTTTTCAATCTCTTAACAGCATCTTTCACAAAACAGAAGTTTTTAATTTTAATGAAGTCCAACTTACATCAATTTTTTCTTTCATGGATCATGCCAAAAAGTCATCACCAAACCCAAGATGACTTAGATTTTTCTCCGATGGTATCTAGCAGCTTTATAATTTTACATTTTACATTTAGATTATGAAAGTGAATTAATTTTTACGAAATATACAAGGTCTGTGTCTAGATTAATTCTTTTGCATGTGACTGTCCAGTTCTTTTACTTGTAAAGTGGTTAAATAATTTCTTTTAAATTTTAAAATATTTTCTAAATCTGAAGAATCCACATTCTAATAAACTATAAAGGAACAAATCTTGATAGTACACTCTGTTTACAAGGCTCTGGAGAAACAGTCATTCTCGTATGCTGCTGATAGGAAGGCAGAATGTCACCAGCCCAGTGGAGATGAGTTTAACAATATCTACAGTAATTACACCTGCATTATTACAAAGCTGCAGTAAGCAAGACATAGACATAGACATCCATCAAGACCAATGAATGGAATAGAAATCCCAGATATAAATTCTTGCATATATGGTCAAATGATTTTCTACAAGGGTGCCAACACCACTCAATGGCGAAAGGACAATCTTCCCAAATGGTGTTGGAAAAACTGGATATGCACGTGCCAAAGCATGAATTTAGACCCTTATCTTAAATCATAATATAAAAATTAACTCAAAATGTAATAAAGATCTAAACATAAGACCCAAAACTATAAAATTCCTAGAGGAAGACATAGAGGAAAATCATCATGACATTGAACTTGGCAATAATTTCTTGGATATAACATCAAAAGCATAAGCAACAAAAGAAAAAATAGACAAATAGGACTATATCAAATGAGGAGACTTTTGTGCATCAAGCAGCACAATCAGCAGAGTTGTGGGGACAACAAACAGAGCAGGAGTATTTGCAGATCATGTATTTAGTGAAGGTTGCTGTCTGGAGTGTGAGGAGAGCTCCTACCACTCAACAACAGGAAATCAAATAGCCCAATTGGGGATGGGTTGTGGACTTGAATAGACATTTCTCCAGGGATGATGTATGTCTGGCCAGCAGGCATATGGGGGATGCTTGGTGTCCCTGGTCATCAGTGAGGTGATAGTAGGGCTGAGGTGTTGGTAAGGATGTAGGGATATTGGAGCCCTGTGCACTGTTGGTGGGACTGTGGAGTGGTGCACACACATTCTACAGTGTGTGCTATACAGTGGAGCTGCTATAGAAAACAAGCTGGAAAAAAATAAAAATAGAACTACCATTGATTCAGCAACCCACTCCTGGGTGTATTATCCAACAGAATTGAAAGCAGGATCCCAAAGACATATTTGTACACCCAGGTTCATAGCAGCCTTAAGAAAGAAAGAAATATTGCCATTTGCCACAGTCTGCATGGACCTAGAGGGTAGTAGGCTAAATGAAATAAGCCAGGCAGAGAAAGACAAATACCATATGATTCCACCTATATGTGGAATCTAAAGACAAAACAAATGAACAAAACAGAAACAGACCCATAAACACAGAGAAGAGACTGATGGCTACCATGGGGGAGGGGCTGTGGTGAGTGGGTGGGTGAAACAGGTGAAGGGGATAAAGAGGCACAAAAATCTCAATTATAATATGTTAGTCAGCATAGAGAATATAGTCAATAACACTGTAATATCTTTCTCTGTTGGCAGACATTAACTACATTTGTTGGGATGAGCATTTAATGACAGAGATAAATGATGAATTACTATATTGTATACTTGAAACCAATATAATATTGGATATCAACTATACTTCAATAAAAAGACAATAAAAGGACAAAACAACATGCTACTAACCAACCAATGGGTCAATGAAGGAATCAAAGGGGAAATAAAAAGTACCTGCAGACAAATGAAAACAGAAACACAACAGTTCAAAAGTTTTGGGATGCAGCAAAAGCAGTTTGTAGTAATATAGACCTATCTCAAGAAACATGAAAAATCTCAAATAAACAATCTAATCTTACACCTGAAGAAACTAGAAAAAGGAAAAACAAAGCTGATAAACCTTTAGCTGGGCTCATAAAGAAAAAAGAAAGGACTCAAATAAAGGCAGAAATGAAAAAGGAGATGTTACAATTGATACCACAGAAATACAACAGATAATAAGATAATTCTATAAAAAATCATATGCCAACAAACTGGAAACCTATAAAAAAATGGATAAATGCCTTGAATCATAAAATCTTCCAGAGTCAGGAGGAAATAGAAAATCTGAATATCCCAATTACTTATAATGGAATTGAACTGATAATCAAAGAACTCCCAACTAACACAAATACAGGACTTGATGGCTTCACAGATGAATTCTACCAAAAATTTAAAGAACATTTTTACCTTCTTGTTTAAAGAAGAGTTAATATCTTCCCTTCCCAAACTATTCCAGAAAATAGCAGAGGAAGGAATGCTTCCAAATTCATTCTACAAAGCCAGCATTACCCTGATACCAAAACCAGACAAAGACACTACAAAAAAAGAAAAGTACAGACCAATATCTTTGACAAACATAGATGCAAAATCCTCAACAAAATATAAGCAAACTGAATTTAAAAATACATTGAAAGGACCCATCACCATGATGAAGTGGGATTTGTCCCAGGGTTGCAAGGGTGGGTCCGCAGCTGCAAATCAATCAACATAATACACCACATTAACAAAAAGAAGGATAAAAACCTTATGGTCATCTCAGTAAAGAAAAAAATATTCAACAAAATTCAGTATCCATCCATGATAAAACTCTCAACAAAGTGGGTCAAGAGGGAACATACCTCAACCTAATAAAGACCATATATGACAAACTGACAGATAACATCATACTCAATGGTGAAAAGCTGAAAGCTTTTCCTCTAAGATCAGGAGTAAGACAAGGATGCCCACTCTCACTATTTCTATTCAACATAGTACTGGAAGTTCTTGCCACAGCAATCGGACAAG